AACTTCAGTGAGATGGGTGGACAACTGGGTCTTTAAGAAGAGGCTGGATGCCTACCTGGCTGGACTCATTTGAGTCCCGTTTTTGTTTTTAGGGTTTTTTGTTGTTCTCCCGCCCTGGCGGGGGGTCGGGCTAGAAGATCTATTAGGTCCCTTCCGACCCTAAAACTATGAAACTATGAAACTGGCTTAGAGGCCACTCCCAGAGAGTGGTGATCAATGGGATGGCTTCATCCTGGAGGGCCATCTCCAGTGGTGTCCCCCACAGCTGAGTGCTTGGACCCATGCTTAAATAATATATTCATTAACAACTTGGTTGTGGGGGTAGGAAGCTCAGTGATTAAATGTGTGGATGATACCTAGCTGTGGGGAAATGTGGGCACAGCAGAGGATAATGCAAAGATCCAGGATGACCTTGACAGACTGGATTTATGGATGAAATTAAAGCAAGTGAGGTTTACCAGGGAGATGTGAAAGGTCCTTCATCTTTCTGGGACGTCACCACAACTATACAGTGGGTGATGGTCCACTAGCTGGCACAGCATCTGAATGAGATCTGGGGGTAATGATCTACTGGAAGATGAATATGAGCCAATAGTGCAATGAGGCTGGCAGAAGGGCAAATAAAACTCTGGTGTGCATCAGCCAATGTGTGGCCAATATATCCAGGGAGGTACTCCTTCCTCTCTGCTTGGTGTAGATGAAGCTTCAGCTGCAGTCCTATGGCCAGTTCTGTTCACCACACTTCAAGAAGAATGTGAATAAACTCAAGAGAGTACAAAGAAGGGCCACCCACATGGTTAAAGGCATGGAGGGTAGGCATCATGAGGAGAGACTCTGGGAACTGGGCCTGTTCAGTCTGAGTAAGAGAAAGCTAAGAGGTGACTTGATAGCTTTCTACAAGTACAATGTGGGGAGCATCAAGAACAAGGAGAGCAAATATTCAGAAGGGCACCTCTATGGAGGACAAGGACCAATGGGCATAAACTAATAGAGGGTAAATTCCTTGAACATAAGGAAAAACATCTTTGTAAGGGTCGCCAGAATCTGGAACACACTCCTAGCAGAAGTGGTGCAGTCAACCTCCTTGGAGGTGTTCAAGACAAGGCTGGACAGGCACCTTGTTGAGCTCATCTGAGCCCAATAACTTCCTGCCCAGAGCAGGGGACCAGACTTGATGATCTTACAGATCCCTTATGGTTCTATGTTTCTATTATTCTATTATATCACCCAATGAGAGGATCTGATATCCCAACATTTCGTTCTCCATTCACACTTCTCTACTTACACTCTCTCTCTCTCTTTCCTTCCAACATGTACATTTATCTATCTCCCACATGCAGCATCTTCTACTGTATATAGTCCCTTTCATGTTTTCTCTCTCTCACACCTGTGTGTGTGTGTGTGTGTGTATATATATAACACATTTCACATAACACATAATATAATATAACACATTCTATCAATCCCAGATGGGTCTATATCCATCCAGTGAGGTAGGAGAGATGAAAGTGTCCTGACTACCAGGTCATCCATCCTTCCCCTTTTCATGATGATGGGAATGAGAAAGCTATTCTATCAAGTGCAACGTTACCATGTCTTCTGTGCAGAAGACAACCCCTGATTTCTTCAAACTTCTGTCCTTCCTTTAAGGCAGAACCCAGCCTTAGACCCTATCTCTCTGAAAATACTTGATCATGTTCTCACTCCAAGCCAAAGGGGGAATTTTCCATGATTAAAAGCAAGGAGAATAGTGGAGAGTGAGGCCACATCCCAGAATTACAAAATGATGAGCAGAGCTCCGGGACTCTCATACTCACGTTTCCGGAGGACACAAGCAAGCATGCCTGGCCTTTGCCATGCCTTTTCTGCATAAGTCAGGACTGTGACTCAGGCCAGCAAGGTATTGGTGTCTGTCAGAATACAACATGGTCAACAGCACCAGCTAAAGGGCTCTCTGCCTATTCCTTATAAACATGGCCTCTCTCTGCCTATTCCTTATAAACCTTGTTATGCAGTCATGCCACCCTTCTTCCATGTTCCTCTTGCCTGCATCCTTCTCTCTGCAGGATCCATCTATCCATGGAAATACATGCAGTCTCTACCTGCTCCACTGGACTATCTGTGGTTTCCACTCTGCTCTCTAGCTAGATAATTCTTGCTCCTCACCATAAGCACCAGCTTTAGGATGCAGCTGTTTAAGGATAAGTAAGAAAGCTGTTTTTTTCTCCATAGTGTCTGCTCTGAATGGGGATAACATAGTAACCTGACTTCCACTAATGCAGCTAACATCTACAGGACCTAATAAATTCTTCTGCCTCCAGGGAACTAATTTGGAAGTGCATCACCAATCTGCACTCATTATCCAAGGGCCTGGGGATGAGGACGCTACATACCAAAAAAAGAAATACAACCCTGCAAGAATTAACTGCAACCTCAAGAGAAGTGCCACTAAAATCCTGATGTACAAACAAGAACCTTCTGCTGGGTCTTTTCAACCCCATCTTTCAGCTGAATGACAGCTGAAACAATATTTTGGAAGAGGAGAGAGAGCTAAATTCCCATTGGTTTTGTTGAGATGCCATTTAACATCAAGATCTCATGGAGATAAAAGATAGCAAGGAAGAAAAATATAATGATTTTGCAAAAGATGCACAACAGAAACACGCACTCTGTTTTCCTTTAGAACATTGTTTCCATCAGATAATGTCATGTTGTTGCTGTCTCAATTCCATTTCACTTTGGGGGGAAGAAAGTTGGGAATGAAATATTTTGGTAATGTCAATATGCAAAGGAGCCTTCCTGAAATAGGATGTTTAGATCTCTTCTGGCATAATTACTTTTCTCTGGCAGAATTCATGTACATGACATGTTGCTATCTCAATGGATTGATTTTTCTAGAAGCAACCTGTATATTTTTCACAAAATTCATTTAATAATTTTGTTAGTGATATTGTAGCCATGTTGATTCAATTCAAAAGAACTCAAAAGTTTATTAACTGGGTGATAGCACCTCCATGGTCACATGCAACTGTTTGCACCAGTTCCATACACCTTGATAATCTTTACAAACCTCATCTAGACAGAAGAGCGGAAAACCAAACTCTCCAAAAAAACCCCAAGTTCTACTGCATAATCACGTTTTCATATTTCACAACTTGTCGTGAACTAGACGTTCTGAGCTCCCACCAGCTCTGACCGGTTAGGCACGTCCCTTTCTTAGAAAGCCATTGAATGTTTGGATCAGATTTCCACCTGGTATAAGCAAGGATTTTGGGAGAGGAAGAGTGGGATAGGGAAGAGAGGAACATAGATTTACATCAATGAAATATCTGGCCCCATAGATCTGGAAACAAAAACACCCCCAGCTCCAGGTCTGTCCAGCACTCAGATAGCTGTGTGTCATGTGGAATCAGAGGGCAGATCTAAAGAGGTTGTGATACTTTGAGACCAGTGTTTTCAAATGATCCTGGGTGGGAGGTTATACCCAAAAGTCACAAAAATTCAGAGGAACCATGAACCAGTGTCATTGAATATCCTACCCCAAACCCCAATCAGGCAGCTATATGAGCCAGGCATTGGTCATAAGAAGTATATAGGCTCACCACTTTTCAATGCAAAAGTGACAGGTGGGTGGGACCAGAAGTCCCGCCCCCTTACCCCTGCCCCCTTTCCCCATGTATGGTGTGTGATGTCACCAGCCCTGCCCCCTGAGCCCAGTCACGTGGTGCGTGACATCAGCAACTCTGCCCCCACCCACAGTCATGTGGTGTGTGACATCAGCAACTCCACCCCCAGTCACGTGGTGTCACCCACCCCACGCTAACACCCATGTGGTGCATTCGGGCGCTTGAGGACAAATTTAAACCATGGCACAAAGACACCATCTTCCAAATTCTCAACGTCTGCTTTGGGGACCAGGGCGATAGGTCATAACTGCACCATGTGATCTAGGGCAGTTCTTGCAGCATGAGGGGTTGGGCTTTGGGGGTCTGCATGGGCTGTCCTTCTGATGTCATGGACCATGTGGTGGTGGTGTCACACACCATGGGACTGGGGGTGGGGGCGGAGTTGCTGATGTCACACACTACGGGACTGGGTTTGGGGGGGAGGCTGGTGACATCACACACCATACATGGGGAAAGGGGGTGGGACTTGCAGTCCTGCCCACCTGTCACATTTGCATTGAAGGGCAGTGAGCCTATGTACTATTGTGATTCAAAGAGGGAAAAACCTTTATTATAAAAAAAAACAAGACTTTTTGCTGAAATGATAATCAAAAAATATGTTTTTCTGTTTAGTTTTCATTTAAATTTTCTGCAGAAAAAGAAATGTTCAGAGCAGCTCCAGTGGAAAGGTTCCCTTAATGTAAAAAAGCAGTCCCCTTAGTTGATACAACCAGTAGGTATAGTCTTCTTCAGTGAAAGAGGGAAGCCTGGAATTGGTCTGGGTTTATACAGTGGGCTCCTGCCTGGACACACTGAGAGATTGTTATAGGTTGAACAAATCATTAGGTTTGTATAACACAGGTCATAGAACTCCTCTTATTAAGTCCATTTGACTTGTATTTTGACTGAAGTTTATTTTCCAAGAAGTCACTCAGCTTTCCTTTGAACACACATGTAAGATAAACAGTGCTCCCATTTCCCAGGGACTTTGCTCCAATTATTAATTACATTTACTCATTTGGAAATAATATTCCTGGCATTAGTAGTGGTATTTCCTTTTTGTATTAGATTAGGCTGCCCCCCTTGTTTCCCTCATATTTTCTCCCCATATAAATACCTACACATCACAATCAATCTCTTTCTTTCCTCTCGTTCATAAACTAAACACTCTGAACTCCTCAAGGCCCTCATTTTAATTCATTTTCCCCTCCTCCTCAAATTATTCCAGATAGATTTTTTTTTTCCGGATACTGTCATTTCCAAAATTATCTTTCAATGTCTCTGATCTAAACTGATGTGAATCAGAATCCAAAAATGGGATGAGACACAGAAACAATGTTTATTGAAATAGAAGTAGGACTTTAAAATACATTTTAAAAAATGGTTAAAAATTATTTTACAATTTAGCCACTAGGAGGCATCTCAGGATAACTAAAAAGAGTACAAGTAGTAGTGTATAGTAACTTTTTAAAACTCAGCAGTTTAAATATGAACAGGTTTAATCCGTTTTGTCCCAAACGCAAACAGAAAAGGAGGGCTAAGGGCCAGATTCCTAAAGACATTTGAGAGCCTCAAGATGGAGATAGACTCCTGGATAGAATTACAAAAGAGCCTTGGGTCCCTTATTCTCAGACTTGCAATGGAAGTTAGGCATGGTAATTGCTTATTCTGAAAATAAAATATATAATAGTTTCTTTAAAAAAAAAAAAAGGCAGAGTAAAACATTGTAATAATGCTTCATGTGAGATTTCACTCACAAGAATCCAGTAATTTTCACTCTACTTTTCTTTTAGTTCAAAAATCAAATACTTTTAAATTGAATTGGTCGCCTTCATATTTTTACCTGCTTTGAAAAACCCAAGCCAATCCTAAACGCAAAGCATAAAAACAAAACTCCATTCTTTAACATGTGAAAGGAGTGAAAATTATTGAAAAAACTTAACAGCACAAATCAGGAATTGGTGGCAACAGGAAAAATCAAAAGGATATTTTTCCAAATGAAAAACTAGTTTTCATTTTAAAAGGAGATTGTAGAAGATACCGATTTTTCTCTCCTCCCTCCCCACAAAATGGACACATTTAAATACATGCAGAGATATAAATGTAACACCAATGTTCTTATTTGGTCTGTAATGGAAGGCAGGAGTGTTTTGCAAAATGCTGAGAGATTGCAAAGTCCATCAAGGGCAGAGATTTTCCAACCTGCCAAATGGGCACCTTTGATTCTGCCACATGATTCAGTGTAAAATCAGTCTCACAGTCTAAACAGCAATACAAGTTACATTTGTAAGGGGCCTTTCACATCCCAGAATGAGCTAGAGATCTAGCTCACAGCTTCCAAAGCAGGCATTCAGTTTTACTCTGACTCATACACAGTGTTGGAGAGAAAACCCTGGAGTCCAGGCTCCCATCCTTCTGCTCTAACCACTACTCCCCACTTAACTCCAAAAGCTAGAGAAACAGTCATGGAGTCCTGGTTCCCAGACTCCCCGTTTTAACCCTCAAACCTACCCTCCTCTCCCAGAACCAGGGATTGAACCCAGGAGTCTTGGAGCCTGTCCGGGTAGATGCAGCTCCTCTCCCAGGGCGGTGACTAGAAACTTTGGAGTTTGGGCTCTACAGTTCCAGATCCCTTTGCTCTCCTAAACTTGGGCAAGGACCCAACAGTCCAGTCTTCTTGCCATCCAATTCATGGCCGAATGTCTTCACAGAGCTGAGACAGGACCCAGGAATCCGGGCTCCCAGTTTCTCCTGCTCTTAGCTTGGGATGCTACTTCCCTCCCAAAGTTGAAGATAGATCCCGGGAGTCCAGGCTGTGAGTCCCTGTTTTTTAAACCCAGAAATCCTCATTCCCACCCCTAAAGCCAAGGATGGAAACCAGGTGTCCAAACTGTTTCCAGTTTTCCCTCCACCTTCCTGCACAAGTCCAAGGCCTCCCCCACTGCACTTTATCTAAGCTCTCTCCCCCATTTCCTCTATGGCTTTCCCCGTGGTGGCTAAGATCCTGGTCCTCCGTGCCACATCCCACAGGGCTTCCTTGACCTTCTCATTACGCAAGGTATAGATGAAGGGGTTGAGCGATGGGGCTACCACACTGGTCATCAGGGCCACCACCTTGTCCACCTGCTCTGGGTAGGTGTGGCTGGTGCGGACATGCATGAAGATGTGGCTGCCGTAGACAATGGTCACCACTACCATGTGTGAAGCACAAGTAGAGAAGGCCTTGCGGCGCCCATGCAGGGAGGGAATGCGGAGCACTGCCAAGACAATGTAGCCATAGGAGATGCCTGTCAACACCAGAGAGCCCAATATCAGCACCGCGGCCAGCACCAAGTTGACAGCTTCAACCTCTTGGGTCCCCGAGCAAGACAGCCCCACCAGTGGTGTCCGGTCACAGAAGAAGTGGTTGATGATGTTGGGGCCACAGTAGGGCAGCCCAGTCACCAGAATGAGCGGCCCCAGGATGGTTGCAAAAGCCGCGGCCCAGGAGCCACATACCAGCTGCAAGCAGAAGCGCCCAGTCATGAGCGCTGGGTAGCGGAGTGGGTTGCAGATGGCTTGGTAGCGGTCAAAAGACATGACACCCAAAAGCAGGAACTCAGCGGCCCCCAGAAGGAAATAGAAGTAGCACTGGATCATGCAGCCAGCAAAGGAAATCGTCTGAGGGCCCTGGAGGAAGCTGGCCAAGAGCTTGGGCACTGTGACAGAGGTAAACCATATCTCCACAAAGGAAAAGTTACGCAGGAAGAAGTACATGGGGCTGCGGAGCCGGTGATCAGAGAGGGTGATGCCAATGATGACCCCGTTCCCAGAAAGCGTCAGCAGATAGTTGGTCAGAACCAGGCAGAAGAGGAGGAGGTGGAGGTGTGGGGCGGTGGGGAAGCCCAGCAGGATGAACTCCTGGACAGAGGCTGTGGCGTTAGTCATGGGCTGAACTCTACAAAGAGGAGAGAGATGTTTCACTGCTTGCAGGGAGGGGTGGAGGAGTGGGGATGAGGTTCAGGAGAGCTGCAAAGAGAGCTCTGCCAGCAGAAGAGGATTTGCCTCAAAGACTCTGGTTGCATCACCTCGGCCAAAGCCAAGGAGGATTTACCTTCTGCTATGAATGAAGAACTCAATACAACAAAGCACCAATTGATGGATCTGGAAACATCAGGGTACCCAAACCATATTAAAACTGCCCCCTCCTCCACCCTGATACTAGGCAACATCAGACCGTGTTCAATTGCTAAAGCAGTCTAAGCATGCTTCACCCTGGAGACAGTTAAGGTCCCAAGCAACCTCAGATTTACCCATTGACATACCAGGCAAAAAGGTTTCATGGATCTACCTGGCGTAAGCCTAGAAAGGACCACTAAAATCATGTTGTGTAGCAGGGCTGGACTATTGCTGTAGCTGTGATGGCCCAGACAAAGTCTGAGGCAAGGATTTTTTGGTGATATCTTTTATTGGACCAACTGTATAATTGGGAAAGCTGTTGGACAAGCCTTCAGGCATCAAGTGCCCTTCCTCAGGTACTGAGGGTATATGCAGGTAGTCCGATAAAAGGTATCACAAAAAAATCCTTGCCTCTCAGACATTAAAATCATCACAGGCCAAAAATCTAGCCCAGTTATCCTTTATACCGAGCCCGAGAAACTTGCATTATGGCTAAGCTATAATCTTCTAGAAAGGCATGCAGTTTAGGCACAAAGGTATCAAGGGAATCTACCACCTCCCTAAACAGCTTATTTCAGTAGTTCAGCAGCCTCACTGGTAAAAGAGAGGGGAAAAACCTGCCTTTCTTCTCATTTGAAGTCGTTTGGTTTCAGCATCTAGCCATTGGTTCTTTCTGCATCTTTCTCCATGAAAGCAGAGACCCCTTTAGAAGCTGCTACTCTCTTGCCATGAAGGTCCTTATCTACTCTAATGAACCCAACCTTTCACCTTTATGTCATAAGTCCAACCATATTTTCCTTCTTAAGGTATCTCACCATAAAGCAACATTTATTTTCCAGCCTTCAAACCATTTTCTTTTCCCTAGCTGGCTCTTTGCTGATTAGACTTGAGTTGCTTTTCATCCAACAAGTACAGTCAGTCCTATGCCTATCACTCACATTTGGCTTTGACTTTAAAGATGCTTTATAAAAAAGGTGATATACACAGGTAACCCTGCTTTGGAGTTCCCCTTCTTCTTATAAATTCCCTGCCTTGTATAAGGAGGCACTGAAAACCAAGCCTGACAGGGACTGGGCTTCCTAATGAATAGTGTTCCAGAGAGATGAGTACTACCAAAGGACAGGCAGATAATGATGCATGCTGCAAAGGGAATGAGGGGCAAAGGCAGGACAGATGCTGCAAAAAAAAGGAAGGACAAAGCAGTGCAGAAATCACTGAAACCTAGATCATAGAAAATTAGGGTTGGAAGGGAAGTCAGGAGGTCATCTAGTTCAACCCCCTGTTCAAAACAGGACCAGCTCCAACTCAACTATCCCAGCCAAAGCTTTGATCTTAAAAACCTCCAGGGATGGAGATTCTACAACCTCTCTGGGTAACCCATTCCAGTGCTTTTCTAACCTCCTAGTGCAAAAGTTTTTTCTAATATCTAACCACAACTTTCCCTTACTGCAACTGGAGACTATTGCTCCTTGTTCTATCATCTGCCACCACTGAGAACAGTCCAGCTCCATGCTCTTTGCAACCACCCTTCAGGGAGTTGAAGGCTGCTATTAAATCTCACCTCAGTCTTTTCTTCTCCAAACTAAATAAGCCCAGCTCCCGCAACCTCTCCTCGTAAATTATGTCCCCCAGCCCCCTCATACTTTTCATTGCCCTCCGCTGGACTCTCTCTAGTCACCTACAGGAAAAATGGCTAATGCTCGTATCTTAAAGGAAAAAAAATGAATCTAGTTAAAATGTTGCATCTGTTTTTTTGCTGTCTCTTAAACTGATACAAGTTTAGCCTGGGTTGTATTGCTGACAAAATCTATCTACATTAAAGAAAAAACAACATATCTCTCAGTCCTAAACAAGAATGTCCTCATGAGGGTGTTACTTTGATTTAATTAATCAGTTTGAACTAATTTGATGAAATACATGAGGCAAAAAGACTTGGAGCCATGCTAAAGCCAATTTTTCTGTTTTTCTGTTGTTTTTTTTAACTGATGTGGGGAAAAAAATCAATGAATCAAAGTAAAAAAGAAATGTTTTGAGTCAAAATGTTTGTAATATGAATTCTTAAATGGGATGAAACTTGTTCAATTTTGAGTTGCACAATATGCTTTAAGTGCAGTAAAGCAGAATCAACACAACTGAAAAAATGGAACATTTAACTTTAAAAAGGTGCAAGTTTTTAATTTTATAAGTTTTATAAGCTTTAATTCATGGAAACCTAGGTAGATTTGCAAGCTGCTTCAGGCAGCATGAATTTGAAAGTTTGGTGGGGAAAAAAAAAATATATGGTCAGCTGAAAATTGTTTCCCAGTTCCCCACAGATTGTGTCTGGAGGAGAAAAAAACCCTCTACATTTCCTATCTGTCCTCTGCACAGCTTGACATGTCTGAAACCAATTGTTTCTTATATCTCTCTCCTGCACCTTGCTCTGTTCCAGTCTGTCTGTCTGTGTTGTTATTGCCTAATGCTTTCTAGCAAGACACCATTTAGATAAAAAATAAGCGCGCTATACAGAATAAAGTTTTGCTGGAAAACAAGAACAAATAGAAAACTTGACCTACCTGAGCTACTTTCTTGCCCCACACATGAGTTTGACCAGATGTGTTCATGAACATGTACAAGGATAGTGAATGTCGCTGGGAACGTGGCTGTGTGGAGCAGTGGCTAAGCTAATGTTTGCCTGAGCCCAAGAACTCAGGCAACGAGTGTGAGCAGGTGCAGGTCACTGGGGGGAGCTTAGCACAGAGGGTGATAGCAAGTGTATGTTGTAGTGATACCAATTATAATTAGAGGATAATCCCTAACTAAAGAAACTCAGTTAGTCATTGGAGATAGTCCATCAGTTCAATATCTAGGAGGCACGCAGAGATACAAACATAGAGTCTGCTGGGGTTGCTTACTGCCCCAAACTAAAACCTGTTTTGCTGTTCTCCTCATTCACATATGCCTGTGTTTCACCTGTGTGTAGTTGTGAATGTGTGCAGTGTCTAGAAGCGTGCATTGGTCCTGGCTGCCTCAGAATAACTGTGAGATTTCCCCACACCAGCGCCAATGCCTCCCTCTCCCACTGGCGTGACTCACATCTATGCCACTAAGCCGAGTCCGCATGAGCACGCCTGATTTCTGGTCAGTGCAGGACATGACTTAGTGGCTCCAGGCTGGATCTAAGCACCGCTCCTCAGCTCACAGGCAAGCTGTGACTCCCCACAAGAGCTGCTGGGTCCAGCTGTCTCCTGACTACACCTCAGAGCAAGGCAGAAGGAGTTCTTCACAAGGTCCATGGTGGGAGATGGAGCAGAAGCACCTCAGACTGTTGCTGGGACATTGAAGGGGCCATGCCTCTAGCCCTCTACCTCAAGGTGCTGCTAATTCACGGTGACAAAGATCCACCAGAGAACTTCTCCTTAATGCCATGCTACTTATCAAGGCAGCCAGCCCTGGGGACAGACCCACTTGGGATACACTCCAGGGAGGGTAGGAGGAAGAGCTGGAGCCACAAATACAGGCGCTGAAGGGACGTTCTCTAAATTGTGTTATGCAGGAGATCAGGCAAGGCAGCTGCCTTGGATCTGAGACACAGGTAGGGCCTAGGAGGATCTAGTTAGTGACCGGTGTTCCCAGCAGGAACAGACCCATCCTCTAAGAGAAATCTGTGATCCCCATGACTGCAGGGTCTTTCAGGCATCTATCATGCCAGAGAAAAGGAGAATCTGGAGTGTAGCCCTCCCCTCCCCTCCCCTGCCATTCATGTTTACCGGCGTGGCTTTAGAATTAGATGTGGGAGCAATGGACCACCCGCTCCATCAAATACCTAGCTCAGCTCTGTTCCTGGAGGAAAATCTCCGAGAGGAACAGTTCCCAGAGACTCAGTAGCAGGCACAGCCCCCCAGCACCTGTTCCCATGGCAAAGGGAAAGGTGACCAGCTAAAACATAGTCTCCACCCAAACTGTTCTGTGCTATGGAAAAGTGGAGGTATCGGTTGGATGGAAGATCTCCCAGGACAGTATCTGCTGCCCTCACCAGTCTTTTGCACCCCACCAGCAAAAAGAAAAACAACAAGGGAGGGGGAAATAAACCCCAAAGAACCTTTAGGAGACTTGTGGCTTCTTGCAGCTGGGAGCCAGGGGTGTTTTTCGAGGTTCTCCACCTAATTTTTGAAGTTTTTCTGACATAAAGAAGTTTTTGAAGTCACTTTCTGGACTGAGTGATGGGCGTTGCTCCCTAGTTTGGGGCTGGGGCATAGCTCAGCCTTACAGAAGACATACAGTGGAGGGGTTTCAAAGAGGTCCACAAAGGAACACAAGAACATAAGAAGTGCTAGATTGGGTCAGACCAATGGTCCATCTAGCCCAACATACTGTCTCCAACGGTGGTAGAAGTGGATGCTATAGAGGGAAAGGATTGAACGTGCGTGATCTATCCTCTACTCAATGCCTTCACTGGCATCTACCATTATTGGGTTAGAGATGCCAGAGGAAACATCTCCAACCGTTCTGTTCAGTAACCATTAATAGATCTATCATCCAGGAATTTATCCAGTCTTGTTTTGAACCTGGCTCTGCCATCTGCTTCCACCACCTCCTGTAGCAATAAAGGTGGGTCAGAGGACCAGTCCTGAGCCTTTTGGCCTAAACCTATGAGGGAACATACTGCTGGGGAAGGAGAAGCCAAGAAGAAGGGGTGGGGAGGACAGCGAGAGTGGCATGGGTGCATAACTCATACGGCATCACAACATCACCCCTTTCCCCCGTGATAGCACAGCAATCAGCTATGG